AGGGAAATGCGTAACACCGTCGTCAAAAAAAACTAAAAATCAACGGCAAGTGATCTATAAAGCTGCATACCAAAACTTTTTCTAAAAAACTCTGATTAAAAGTCTGAAATTTTGAAAAAACTTTATAGAATTTTCGTAATTTGTATACCAAGTTTTAAATTCGGACTTACATGGTTTTCATTAGTAGAGAGCTATACTGTCATAACGAAATAATAAGTATTAAATAAACAAAGTAAAAATTGCCAAATCAAATTAAAATATTTATACCTTTTTATTTGCCCGCCACAGTATATTGCCTTATCCCATGGTCTTGTGACACCACTACGAACGGTATACACTAAGCCATATTGGCACATTTCACTCCTGGGCAGATCGTTAGGGATGGTAAGAGAGTGAGAAAGAAAAATGTCACAACCGGTTTGTCCCAAAACTAAACTTGGCAAGGGATGATAGAAATTCGTTCCAAAATAAATCAGTGCCATCCAAGGCGTTTAAACCTTATCGGCTAAACAGTTGGCCAATTTAAGCGAAAGTGGTAATATAAATCCACCTCATCGTCTTCTTAACTGCTGCGGCATTGACGATATAGAGCAGTGGCGAACCAAAAGTAGGATAGATCCCTGCCCCCTTGGCCAATAAGCTTATAGTTTTTACTTTTGCTTTTTTCTAGATTAATCACCCTTGGACGCCTCATTCTTGAAAAATTTAAAATTTTTATTTTTTTTTATAATAGATATTTATTAACACTATACAAAATAGAAGTTGAAAGAGATTATTCGCCTATTCGCTCAATTACAGTTCCTCAGCTCGTACATTAGATATGGATACTTTCTTACTTCAATTCCAAATAGATTCTTCGCCTCTGCACATTGGCCAATTTTTCGAAAAAGCTGGCCAAAAGTCGAAGCGTGGTACAATTGTAATCAAACCTTGTGTATCCGTCTTTATTTTGGTTGCTGGTTTTAAATTTCACCACATAATTTCGAAATTCAAAATGGCGGATCCATAATGGCCGCTGTGTACGCATAAAATAATCCGATTTTTAGCAAAACTAAGGTAGTTAAGTGTAAAAGGTCATGTTTTCTCCTTTTTTGTTATATAATGTGATGTAGCAGCTAAAATGTACGCTATCATTCCACAGGGCCTGGGTCCAAGCCCAGTTTCCGACCAACATAAAAAAATAAGAAATAAAAAAGTTTTTTGTAATAGTGGTCGCCCTTTGGCAGGCAATGGCAAACCCCCGAGAGTATTCAGCCACGGAGAACAGCTTCTCATAAAAATACAATCCCCGTTCGGATTCGGCGTAAAACTGTTGGTCCCTCCCCTTTGTGCGCCAACATCAAGGCGCACGCCACAAATCGGAAAGAAGCTCGGACAAACACTAACGAGGTTGATGTTCGGATCATCTAACAATGTTGATGTTCAAATCGGATCATCTAACAATGTTGATGTTCAAATTTACACGGGAGATGAATCAATAAACAAGACATACATATTTGTTGATACAGGAATATATTTTTAAGATAACAATTTTATACACCATACTCAAGCTCATATCAATATTTAATATTGTTCCATTCCATCATTTCTAAGTCAACTGTACACTGCATCTGCAAGTCGTACGTAAATTGTAATAAATAATAAAAAGTTGTATGATTAGTTGAGAGTTGGTATATCGTACCTGTAATTTTACTACCTTCTCCAACCATGTTTTGTTTTTTACAAGAAAGCGTGCAGTTGTTCTGTTACTCTTGTCCCATTTTCTTTTTATAGTAGTAAGTAAATCTTTCACTTCACTTCTTTGGTCTGGATGGAGCGTGATAGTTTTATTTTCTTTTTTAGATAGAAGTTCCTCCAGATTTTTGGTTTTTACACCCACTTCCAAATGCAATTGTTTAAACAATGCATCGAAAATTTCACGCCGAGTGCACTCTAATATAGTAGTACTTTCTGACATCATTTAAATTCTAAAAACATCCAATCTTTAAAACATCAAAATCTTCACAGAAATAATTTTTTACATAATTTAAATCTTTTAAACATAAACAAAAATCTAAGAATCGCGTATAAACACTGATGTCCAAACTACAGTGGCGGCTTGTGGCAGGTGGTTTTAACCAAGGTGGATGGGAAAAAATTCAATATATATGAAAAATTAAATTAGACCGCCCATCTGGACCACTCTCGTAACTAGTTATTTTCCTAATTTATCATAATGAGTAAAGAAAAAAAAATCAATCCGTGGATATCTATGTCTTACGTTAGTTTTTAGATGGCGTGACAATGAAAATACATGTTTTACATACTCTAGATTACAATGTCCATGAACGGATGCTTGAAAACTGTAATTTTTTAAAGATAATACCACAACTTTTACAACGACGAAAACTCTAATTTACGAAAAGTTTAGAGCGAATTGCTAGCAACAGTCACTTCGATCTCCTGTAACACTAAATGCCTTAAGAGAATCGACTTGTTGTCTCACAACGATACGCAGTAGAGCCCTCTTAACAATATAAGATGGTTATGCATACAAATGCACCAATTTTTTTTCGACTTTTGGCCAGGGTTTTCCAAAAATTGGCTACTGTGCTCTGGCCACTGTGTGTTCCACTTAAGTCATAAGCCGGTAGTCATTAATCCCAATTCATTAGTCAATCGGCATTAGTTGACCATAGTTTGTCAAAAATCATTATTCCGTAGTCATAAGTCATTAATCATAAATTATTACTTATTAGTAGGTAGCCATTAATCATTGTACATATGTCATTGGTCGTAGTCATTAGTCAAAATTTAATTGTCATAAATCATTAGCGATAAGCTATTAGTCCTTAGTCGTTAGCAAATATTCATAAGTCATTTTCCGTTAGTCATTAAGTCACTAATCAGTAGTGGTTAGTCAGTAGTCGTGAGTCGTTTCACCTCCCAAAATCCTCGAAATGATCCAGTGTGACATTTAGTCTTGTCGATTGAATACCAATCGAACTGTGTTCTGTCCATATACCTACCAGAATTATGATTTCGGATTTGTGAGTCCAAGAAGATCCCTTTACCGACTCCGGTCCAAACTCGCCCAGAAAGTTCTTGTAGTTCGCATCTATGTAGTCAAAGGCATTTTCGCTATTCTCTTCTCTCGATGAAACCGACAAGAGGATATTTACCTGATCAGGTCATTCGGAATGCAATTTTCTGACAAGAAAAAAAGTCAGACGCAGAGTAGATGTTTACCTCCGTTGCCGACGTGGTGCACTTCCGCAGTTAATATACTCCTTTGTTAATGGCAGCTACCTTTGCCTGGAAAACACTTCAGTTATTCGGACGATTAAATTTGAGGTTGACCGGAAGCTCGCTGTAAAATACCCATTCGTCAAGCTTCATTCCACCCGTGTGGAACTGCACCGAAGTTTGCTTTCAACTACTGCCTCCCGTTCACGTATGCCTAGAGGGCAACGCAGTGATCATCTTATCAGGAATAGAGTCGAAGCCTGCCAGAATACTATAAAGTTAAGATCTTGGGTCAGTAAATGATGCATTGCTCCTAAGTTTGACTGCAGCTCTTGGAAGAATTTTTTCCTTAAGATATTAAGAAATAACCAAAAAAAAAAACAAAACAAATAGTATAAACTTACTGGTATTGATCAAAATTAATATCTCTCAAGGTACATAAATGGTAATAGATATACGAAAAGGAAGTAATTTCGCATTTCATACATACACATTTGTATAAACAAATTTTAGAGGCGAAGCCCTGTGTGACCGTATTCTGCTTGTTGGCTGGTTTAAACTATATAAAAAAATAAACAAACATGTATACAATTAAAACAATGACGAACAAAATCTACAAAGTACGCCACGTAAATATGTTACTAATTTTTTCAAGTAATGGTTTAATCACGTTTTCTGCGGTTACCTAGCTTTTTTACTTGGCAACTTACCTCAATGCTGCAAATTATCTCACCAAACCGTTCAGCTTCATTCCACATCTGCTTCTTCAATTGATTTGCTTTTTTGTTTTGACTACATACTTTGTTTGTATGTTTGGCTTTCTTGGGGGTTTGGGTCTCTTAAGAATGTCAAGAGGTATACGACTTGTTGATACCCCATCGGAGCATAGTTATGTGCTTTGAAATGTATTTGATCACCCAAAACTAATTTATTACTGTAAGCAAATTAATTTGGCTCACTTTTTGTTGCCTTTTTGTTCGGCAACTTGCTTCGCTTATTAGTTTTTCTGTACAAGTGATTTAAACATAAATAAATAAAAATGGTAATTGGTACATAATAAAACATAAATAAATAAAAATAGTAATTGGTACATACTAAAATAAAATCCTCTTTTACAAATCGCAAGACCGTACATTGACTTCAAAGATTTTTAAACAATAAAGTTCAACAGGTTTTAGATTTACAGCACAGTTGTAAATATAAAATCGGTACATGCTCTTGCATTGTTAATTTTTATGGTAAATACAAGTACTTTGTAATAAAAAAAAAATCACATAACAAGTGCTGCTCTAAAGGTGAAAAATATTCAAGCGGCAAGGTAACTTATGGTGCTATAATCTGGCTATAGCTATATCAACGTATGTATATAAAAGTATAAATAACTAATAATTAATTAAAGCTCCGCCCACACGTAGAATTGTATGCATGCATAAGCGCCAACAGATTATTAATAATTATTATATTATTAGCCTATTATAATTAATACATAATTATTATGAAACACGGCAATAATTAAGTCTCTATTAACATATTTACATTACGTGCATACTTATGCATTCATATTTGGTGCTTTTTTGCTCATTCGTCATTAAGCTTTTGTCTTTAACAGGCGTATTTCTTTCAGTGTATATTTGTCGATATAAGTTGCTTGGTGTAGCATACCTTTAGGCGCACACAGTGTGCAGCACTCACATTTCCGCCATTGCTTGTTCATTACTAACGTACTTGTCCGCTTTTTTTTTCTTCTTTTGTCTTGTTTTGTCTTTTGCAGAAGAATGGGTAACAAAAAAGAAAACAGAACTTACAACTACACGCCAAATCGAAACACGCGTTAAGCGGCAATTGGTGCTGGAAGATGGCAAAGTTGTGGAGGATTCAGGACCAATTGTCTCAACGAATACAACGGAAGATACTGATAAACAGGAAACGGAAACAACAGAGGTGAGTTTTTTGGAAAAGGAAGTCAAAATACACATACATACATACATACATATGTAAAGCCGTAGAGAAACATGTAAATACATATTTTTTTATATAAAAATAAATTTGTGCATCATGCATATGTACAGCAATAAAATCTGTGTTCGTATGGAAAAGTAGCTTATGTCGAAAGGCTGGCTTTAGTATAAATCGGCATTCGCAGTATACGATTGCGAATGACTCACTGGCGCTGAGCTGTTGTAGAACTTTT